CCTGGTGCCACGTGGCAGGACGGGAGATAGTGAGTGCTTGTATACTTCCAAAATAGACTGTTCTGGGAATTAGCCTGGAATCAAAGGGAAGGTTTGGGATTCAGGGAATATCCTCTCCACTAGTTATAACTTCTATGGTTCCTCATCAACCATCAGCAGTTAAAATTCCAAGAAAGAAAGAAAGAAAAAAAATTAGAAAATTTTTATTGTTCCTGTTCATGAATTTCTTCATACCAATGGGAAGAGTTTCTGGGAGATGGAAAATATATTACAGTTCTCCAATCATTTGTTTAACATAACAAAAGAGTATGCCATAATATAGAATATAAACAGAGAGTATGTGATAATAGAATATAAACAGTATTTGCATGCAAATAAGAGAATTTACAAAAAGTCACTGTTATAAAAATTAAAAAAAATAAAAATTTTGACTTTAGAGCAACAAAAGCTCTCAGCTCATCCTGCCTTGGTATTCCAAAAATGCCCATCTCTATTCCTTCTTGTGATTGCTTTCTCAACTCCACACGCCAGAATAGCATAATCACCATTTTAGGGTTAGATCATAAGCCTTAACAAAACTCTACTTGATGTACATTACCTTAATTAATAGTATATATAGTATTTATAGATATATATTACTACTATATATATATTATATACTATATAATATATGTATATATATACTATACATATATGTATTCATAGATTAATGAGGTGTCCTATGTCAAGTAGGGGATTTCCTCCTTGAACAATGATTGTGGCACAATCGCCACATATCGTGCAATAAAGTAGGAACGCGAATATCACATGGTGGGTGATTGTGCCACATTTCATTCAAGGAGGAAGAATCTCGCTTTCTTAACTGACGAATGATACTCATTATATCACACACACACACACACAACACGACACACACACACACACTACACCCTATTATTATATATATATTATTATATAGTATATATAGCTATATATATATATCATATAACTATTATATATATATAGTATATATAGGAAAAAGTGGAATCTAAGGTGATACGCCTTAGCTCTGCACCTAAGGACGCGACCTAAAGATCACATTCACCTTTCCAAAATTATTTTTTTTACGATCCGCTCTGTTGAACTGATCTAGCACGTTCTTAAACTCAACGGCAACACACCAATCTTTGGGATGAAACCGTTCGTGTTTTGACCCTTTATCCACTCGCTGCAATTTTAACGGTTTTCGAATGAATAGTAGAACTTTTCTGCACGGCTCAACGATCAATTGGTCTAAACACAACGGGTTCACCCCAAAATGGTCGTGTTTGGTTGTTCAAGGAACGTGTAGATCAAGTTCAACGGACGCGGGATCACAAAAAAAAGAAGGAAATGACTGATGATTCTTAGGGCCGGCCGTCCTTAGGTGGGAAGCCGCTCAGCGGATGTCACCTTAGATTCACCTTTTCCCAGTCATTACACCTATTATATATAATACTAAATACTAGGCTATATATATAATATTATATATATATAAATATATTATATATATTATATATATATATATATATATACTATGATTAAGATTTAATGAGTTATCCCTTGTTCATTCCAGGAGGGGCGAACATTTCTCTTTCTTTGACGACACTTTATCGTGGGCACAAATCTCCCAACCATTCCTTCACTTAAAATCGTTTTTTTAGGACTCGAATCGTAAGGGAGGC